ATCACAATAGCTCGATTTTAATAGTGTAATATCACTGTATCAAGTTGAACAAACTTAAAAAGAAATTTCTATCTGGGAGGAAAATCAAATTTTATTATTATTTTTTATATGACAAATTTGGAAGGACACATAATAATGTACTCGAGTAGCCAGTGGACACCACGAGATATGAAGCAGTGGAAGCATTTAAGAGGCAGAAAATATCAGTGAATAAGAATCCTGCAATAGATGTAATAAAGAAGAAGAAAATAAAGCAATAGGTATTCACACACAGAAAAGCAGCCAAAATCAAATTCATTTCAACAGCACTCAAATTTATGTTGAACTAAGATTTGGCATAGCACTGGAAGTGTACCTGTCAAATAGAATGTCATTGGCAAGGTAAATTATATGCAATTGTCTCTCAGAATCATCCACACCAAACACCCTGTCCCTAAGTGCCTCGGCCAGAGCTGGTGCAAATGTTAGTTGTTACTCTCAAATGTGTCTCTATTTGCATAACTTTGTTGATGTTTTGCTGCAGTTAGTGTTTTCCAACTCTATGAATGTTTATTAAATTGAAGACAACTGGTAGAAGGTTGGTCTTGCTTTCATGGCACAGAAGGAAGAAAACAGTTGCTGATAAAATGAGCATATTTGAAATCTAAAGACTCAGATGAATTATGGACATGCCAAAAAGACAAGAATAAGAAATGAATGTGTTTCTAACGAGAAATGTATTATTAATTCATTACAAGAAACATGAGATGAAGTTGTTATTAGGTAAGGTATGATTATGTGCAAACAAAATAAAGACTAGTGAGTGTGAGGGACATGTGGACTGACAACGAAGGGACGGGGGCTGAGGAAAAAAAATTATACAAGAAGCTGTGAACTAACTAGAAATATTGTCTAGATCAGAATATGGTAGAAGAATTATTTTTTCCATCCAGTGAGTACTTACTATCTAAAGAGTAATTGTTGCATTATAGATTTTGACAATGAGGTTGAACTATGTGCCTTTCAAAAATGTAATTTGCTTCTGGTAATTGTTCCCATACTCTATTTGCAAACATGGTTATCAATCATGCACAACCTATGTATGCCATAAATGGATTTTTGCTGCTAAAAATGATTTTTACTGAGGTTACATAAGAAGGGCCTTTTACCTGCTCCTTCCTGCTCAATGTTTTATCTTATTGTGTGTTCATAAAGAATTGGTAATTTGCCTCGGTAAGCTAGCTCCCAACATGGAGTAAAATGTTACTATCAATGTAAATGACAGCCTGATTATTGCACAACCTCTTTATGGGCCTTCGGCAAGGGAAACCCATCATTAAGAAAAGATTGATATTCTAATTAATAAATAATTAATTGAGTTGACGTTTAAAAATTCAATATTTTCTGATGCTAAGAAGTGAAACTTAATTGAGATTGTATTTTAGTGGAGGAGATGTTGAAATCTTGAATGGCAACATGAAACCACCTGTGTCTGTGTGTGCCTATGAAGGTTTCTTTTTGGGTAATTTGTGTCTATGAAGCTTCCTTCACCCTTTGCTAACTTTTTAGCTTACTTTCTCCAGTTAATTATATAGTTTTCGTTCAAGAAGACAAAAAGGAAGAGAAAGAACAAAATTAATCATTAGGGTTGATTGGACAAAAGTGGAGATGCAATTGCCCAATTTCATTGAGAGAAAAAAAAAAGAAAAAAAAAAAAGAACAATAAGGATCATGAACTATAGGGCAAACCACATTCAGTTTAGTGAGTAAGCGAAGGGAAGATGTGGAAGTAGGATAAAGGTGTTATTTACCTTTTGCTTTAATAGTATTAGTACTACTGTACTACTAATACTAGTCTACTGCTGCTGCTACTATAATGTTTCGCTGTTGTGTTATAGTTTCTCACTACTGAATATATTTCAAGTCTGATTCATGCAACTCTGCACACAGGTGGTTCTTGATTTAGATGAGACTCTAGTGTGTGCTTATGAAACATCCAGTGTGTGCTTATGAAACATCTAGTTTAATGGTTTTAGTTGAACTTACAACTTATTCAACGACATGGAATGCAATTGCATAAGGATAAGCTACTAAAGTTATGTGTACACCCCATACCCTGTATTGTTGACTTAGGTTGTGTTTGGATCTTGGATTTGTGGAGGGAAAAGTGAATGAAGTAGCTTCTAAGATCCAATCACACCCCAAAGAATGGTTGGAATTCAAAGGATCCAGGTGAGACATAAAAGACTCGAAGTGTGAACTCTCACAACAATTATCAAGTACATATCCCACCATACAAGAAAATCATGAGAGTCAATGATTTTCTTTCATGATTAGCTAAAATACTAATACATTTAATGGTGACCTACAGAAATCAAATAAATTTCAAATACTCACAGACTAACCAGCAAAGAGACATAAACACAATGTAACAATGAGATGATGTAATAAATGTCTGTTACCTCCGTTTTCTATCATCATCTAGAGGCACTGAACTGCTCATTTCCTTTCCAACACGCTTGTCAGGCAGGGTTTGCTTATGTTCACTATCAGATGTGTCCTCGTTCCTAGAATCATAATCTATACTACTTATTTACCCTTAATAAGAGGAATTTTGCACATAATATCACAAAGAAAATACAAAGAATTTCAATGATGAGTACGGAATTAAATGTTTACTTCACAAATCCCAAAACCCATAAATTCATATATAAGGGCATATTTTATACTATTATTAGAAGGTAACACCTTAATTGATGTCCCTGACAGATTTTTAGCATGCCTGAATTACCCCATGCTCAAACATCTTTGCATAATTCTAGAATGCCGAAAAACAAAGATAAAACAGTTAATTAAGGTCTTCAAACTTCAACATTAAGAATGAATAGCAATACAAGGAAGTCAGTTCCTATAGCTGTTTTGCCAAGGAATTGGTTTTTCAATGTAAAGACAATTTTTCCATAATGGTCCTAAAAGAGATGGTATCAGTAGCATTCTTTGAAGGAAATAAATTCAAAATCGAACTCGTACAATGTTTCGTTGCGGCCATTCTATTCAACGTAAATGAGCTTAGAATCCTTGTATTAAAAACTAAAGTTAAAGGTCCAAATTATACCTCCAGCGAATTATTTATACACCTGTGCTGATAACAACCATTTCCTTGGGTCATGGAACCCCTTACAAACCCAGTCCGTACTAATGATGAGGCCATACACCTACAAGAATGAACAGAAGTTATGCCAATGCAGAATTCAAATGTGAGAATCTGAAAAAAGTTCCATAAGCATATCTCACCTTCAGCTATGTCCTCTCACCTCACCCAACATTCTGTCAGGTGCTCAAGCACTGTTCATGTCTGTGCATGATTGCATGATCCATCAGAATAAGCTACATAATAAGTGCAATAGTCAGCTAATGACGACTGCCCACCTGCGATGGCCAAGAATGGAAATCAATATTCTATAATGGTTATTATTGTACATATTTAAACCAAACATGATTATGTAAATTTAAGTGATCACCAGCTGGAAGTGGAACATCTAAACTTAGCATAAGAAATTAGTGAAACAAAAAACTTGCTAGAGTTTTGAATCTTTCCAGCAAGTCACAAGCAAAATCAACTACTGTCTGGAAGAGGACAGATGTCAGAGGGAATCCAAGCTTTAGCAAGATTCTAACATGTCATTTAATTTAGGGTATATTACACTGATCTCCCAGCAAACTCCACAACTTTGAAAAAATTACAGTGACCTCCCTTTTAGAGAGGTTAAAGGGACAGGAACAAATGAAAATGGTGTGAAGACACAAAGATAAATAAGGAAAAATTATACATTTCATTGTAAAAGAGATGACATCATCATTTTTCCATCTACGTGACTAACAAATTTCTTATGAAAATGAGGCTCAATGTTATGTGAATTAAAACCTTAAGAGAGTCCAATGTGATTATGCTAAACTTGTGAGGCTTACTATATTTTTTTTCAAACCTTAGGAGAGGTCAATGTAATTTACTCTTTAATTTATGTTTGGCAGGCCAATATACAGAATTATGAACCTTGATGAAGAAGAAGCTTGGATATAAACTTGATATACAAGACAGCACCTTTGGTCAATATTCGAAATTAGATGGATCCAAATTTCACAAGCACCCACAAGCACAATTTCCAAAGATCCTGACAGCATTATTTTTTATTTAATTTTTTTTTTAAGTTAGAGAGCCTGATAGAATGATACAGCATCTTCTTCCAAATTACATAGAGAAGGCTAAGAACATGTTCAAGAATTGTTTCTACTCCGTGAACACACATTAATGCATATTAGTCATTAGATGAAGATCATGGACATCGTAGTGGTGTCGTGTCTACTGGTACGGTCCATATTAAGGACATACTGAAATATCATAAACATGGATGCTAAATGGGGCAATGTACCGTAAGATTTCATTCATTGTCAATACCATCTGATGAAAGAAATCTATACAAAAATAAATAAATAAATAACAATATCAAGTAGGAAGTGGAAAAGAGCTCATTTTCAAATTTTAAGGCAGAGGTCTCATATCTTGATAGGATTCATTTCAGAAATGAAGATGTCATACAGAGGACTAAACAATCCTAGCAAATCCCAAAACCCACATGTTTAGCTGGGATTAGTAGCCAATGAGATTGTATCTCCATAGAAGTGCTTCTAGAAATCACTGAATCTCTTAATCTCTGCAAATGAGGATCAAGTAAGAATGCCTTAAAACATTGATTTCATAGATCTAGAGAGAGAGAGACGGTGGAGCTCACTACCTCGCCGGTGCAGATGGTGCTGGCGATGGAGCTTCAAAATCACTTTGATGGAGCTTCGAAATCGCTTCGATCTGAATCTTCTTCGACCTGAATCTTTGATGGAGCTTAGAGAGGGTTGAGAGAGAGAGAGAGATGTGTGCGTATAAGGGTTGGGAGAGTGAAATGGCTCAGATTCAAAATAAAATAAGGGTTTCCAAAAGTAGGCACGTGTGGCCACCGCATTTGGAGGCATTTCTAAACGCCTCATATTATAAAACGGTGTCGTTTTGTTTAAAAGAATATGCAACGTTTTATAAACGCCGTTAAATATTAATAATAGTGACGTTTAAAAAAACGTCGTTAAAAAAACGCCACCATATCCCTTTTTCCTGTAGTGTATTCTTTTCTTTTCTTTCTTTTACTAGGAGGTTAGAGATGCGAAGTACAACTTACTATGAGTCTGCGAAGTTGAACATAGTATTTTTTAAGAGACCCCCAGATGAGATCTTCTGTTGCAAACCTGAAAATAAGAACCGGAGTTCGAGAATAACATGCATGAAACTTGAAGTTATGTTTTGCAACAGAATGAAATTATGAAAGAACACTATGTGCTTCTGAAATGAGCACCATTGTATTTAAATTTAACTCTGCCCTCATTAACCATTCTGTTTCTTGTGTTCTCTATTCATATTTTAATAGTCCCATGGCAGACCAAAATAAAAAATTATCAAAATTTAACAACTTAAAATACACTGAATTTGTTTCATGCTTTCTAGAGCATAAATGTTTTTGGAATTAAAACAGAACACAAAAATAAATCACTAACATTAAATCTTTTACTGTTTCATATTTTAGTTGATTACTGTGTGATGGATCAAAGCCACTGTAGTTGATTAAAGCCATTGTGTTTCATTATCTGCTACCGATGAAAGTGTCCCTTTTAGGTTCTATTTTGCTCAGAACATGTACCACCTCGCATTTGCATCCATTGAGAAAGAAAAAACTTACCTGCATAAATTCTATCCAGTACTCGGGGAACAGCACAGAAAATAGTAGGTTTCAGCTCACCAATATCTTCAGTCAATAGTTTGACATCCTGAAGATGTAACAAACACCGAATTGTTACATTGAACTCTAATGTGGAAGGAAAAGAATTGGTAGTCATATTACCCCGTGCCAAAATCCTATTGAGCCGCCAATATTGATAAAACACTCTTCAATCAGTCGATCAAAGATATGTGCCAGAGGAAGATATGAAAGATTTACATCCTTTTCAGTCAACTGTAAAATTTTCAAATGGATGTGCAAGAAATCCTAAATAAAGCAGAATAATTTAGATTAAATCAAATAAATAGCCTGCCACGTAGATTTATGAATGTAAATTGATTCACATGCTTACCAATTCATGAACACTCCCTAGCAGGCACCTCACCCCATCTATAAGAGTAACAATGCTATTATTGGAAATCAGAACGCCCTTTGGGTCACCAGTTGTGCCACTAGTATACATTATTGTACAAATGTCACTTTTCTTTTTTACCGGAAGATCATACTGTTTATCATCTCCCTGCAAAACAGATAGGGTGAAATTCAAATCGAAGTAATAAATAGTCAATGGAAGTATCATCCATACTTAGCCCCCCTTGGGGAAATGGTATCAGATCAGTTGGCGATTTATAAAAAAATTCCAATTCAAGAACAGATTTTTTTTAGGGATGCACCACATAATATTTGAAATTAACATTCAGTACTAGAGACAACGTATATATAGCACACATCATTTCAAGTGCAAAATGCCTCAGATTTAACCACATTTTGCTTCAGAGCACCATCAGATTTAGTCAATAGTACTCAACCTATCCTATAACCAAATGCAATAGAAGTAACACGATGGAAATAACTGGATCTTAAAGTGAAACATATTTTGACTTTTGACCTTATATCATAACCCTGAACCAATACGACTGCCTGCCTGCAATATGGAAATACACCAATGCCAGTGACCTCTTGTGCCAGCTGTCAACTCCAGCATATCATCTAAGTTATCCTCAAACCACTTTATTATTAGATAAATAAGGATCCATAAAATGCAATAAAGTGGCACAATACAATGATTTTTGTAATACAAAATGTGCAGTACGCCATCCAGCATCTCTGCTTTGAATTCAACAAATTATACACCAATCAAATTCCATTTAAATCATATAACTGCTAGTTTCTTGAAACAAATTTCATGTGGTACAATAATGGGCATTATTCAAAACCAAAAAATTATTAACAAACAACCAGATATGAAATGAATAATGGATTAACAGAAGTAGCTTACCAATAACAAAAATTCATCCCAAGCATATATAGCCAAACCAAACTTTTCAACTTCTTCTTTTTGTTCAGGAGTGACCTTGCCAAAGCTCACAATTGCTATATGAAAAAATGAATACAGTATTATTTCTTAATGCCGCATGCAAATGCAAACTGAATATTGTATCAAATACAACTTACTTTTCAAGTATTTCGTTGCACTAGGAAATGTTTTCAGCACCTGAAAAGGCAGAAGAAAAATTAAGACGCGTAATCCAGACATCCTATTATATTTTGTTCTATTGCCACCATCTTAGCACTAAACACAATAAAACAACTACAACAATAAGTTGGGCAGAAATGGACCTTTCAGAGTATTGAATTATAAATGAAGTCACATAGAAGATGCACTAAATTTTGGTATCAACTTGAACATATTCATCAAATCAGATCAAGATACATCCATGAATGTCTCATAACAACCTTAGTCGGTACACCAATCATAAAATGAAAACCTGTGTACCTCAGGAATCTTTTTCTCTTGATCAACACATAATAACCATATGTAAAACTCCAAAACGAATCAAGTTGATGATGAAAAATAATTAAACCACAGGTGAGAGATTCACTGCTTCATCACTGAGTCTTTAGTTGAGGTTGGGATGGACCAATACCACCAACAGGTGACATATCAAATTTTATGAAATTAAACAAATCTTTTACTACATGGCTTTACTGTTAATTGAATTCCAGCCAGTGCATTATGTGGTGTGCATTGCATAAATATTTTGAGTCATCAACAAAACAAAATCCACCACTATAGCAATAGTTATTATGAACATAAATCAACAATTTACCTATCTTTACTTGAGGCAGAATTCTCATTTCCAAAGACAAGCCCAACAACCCCTTGTACACGATTCGGTAAATTAATCACGTGTAAGCATAAGATTAGTAAAATGGCACTTACCATAACAACACATCTGAAAATTGATTCCAAGACATGTATATTATAAACCAAATACACAATAATGAGAAGTTATCAATTGAAAAACTAACTGTGACAAAATCCATATTGAAAGATGACAGTAAACACTGCTGAATAGCAAGCTAATGAGAGAAAATACCTCGTACCCAGACTAATGAGAGAAAATTCCTTGTACCCAGACATCAAATCCATCCTTTGATACAAATGGACCACTAAAAGTCAATCAAACCAAAGCTTTCTGAAAAATAACAAAGAAAAAAACCCTCGACAGTGAACAATAACTGACCAAACTAAACAATTTGATCAAAACTACAAAAGTACAGAGATATCATTCTACATTACTAAGAAGGATCACACTACGATACAGTTAGCATTCACATATACACATACATATACATACACTTGAAGGGTAGAACACGTTACGCACATACGCACTTCATTGGCCTTGTTCAATGCAGTGTATAAAGCTCTGCCGACAGCTTCTTTTATTTTGGAATTGCGTGCCAGAGTGTTTAGTGTTGCTTCCAATTATAGCTTATAAAAAAAAATAGCTTAAAATACTAATTACCAGAATGCTGAGGAAGATGCAATTTTAACTTTTGTTTTTGATTATTAGATTTTAACTTGCAAGAAGCTGAACCAAACAGGGCCATTATGACCCATCGATTGAATTTTACTGTTTGAAAAAAATATTTACAAACTTACTGATCACTTCTCAGAGTCAATTTTTGAATCGACATTTACAACCGGCCAACATTCAAAAATACATTCTAAAACAATGTCAGAGCAGTGACTTTCACGAATAACTGGCTAATGTGTGCATATTACTAATAAATACACAAGAGAGAGAGAGAGAGAGAGAGAGAGAGAGAGAGAGAGTCTCAAATGAGTTAATTGAAAGACTAGGACCTAGGAGGTTGAACACACATTCATTGTCTCCTTGTCACACTTATGCCCAAAACAAGTCTTTTGACTAGTAGTACAATACATATGATATCAAAGCACTGATTGATAGCATATTTTTATATACTATTAAAGAAATTAATTGTCACAATTGATAGTGAAAGGACTTTAGTGAAATTATAAAAAATGCAAGGGGCCAGAGTGTAATATTACACACACACACTCTCACAGAGAGAAAGAGAGTTAGGAAATGAAGTTGAAATGAAGGAAATGAAAGTTGAAATGGAAATCCTACCTTATCTGACTCCACTATCAATGCAAATCAGCAATTTTATTTTAATTTATTTTCAACACAATAACACAATAGGATGACTACAAGGAAATTTTAGCTACTCAGCGCAATTTAAGAAATGTTGATCATGAAACATTTCATCTCCCACACACACACACACGTACACACACACACTCAGAGAGAGAGTTAAGGAAATGTGGAATGGAAATGTCAATCCTTTCCATTTGATACCCAAATTTTGTATGGCAAAAAGAACCTACCAAAGCAAGAGTATGGAAAAAAATGAACTACCTTTCACCATAAAAGCCACTCCCTGCATCTCTACATCTCTACATCTCTACCCCAACCTCTACATCTCTGTCTTCCTTCTATCATTTTTTCCCAAGAGTTACATCTCTGTCTTCTGTCTTTTTTCCCAATAATGTTAGCTACTCAGCTTACTTTGCAATTTAAGAAATGTTGATCATGAATTTCATCTTTCCTCCCCCCACACACACAGAGAAATAGAGTTATGGAAATGTCAATACTTTCCATTTGATACCCAAATTTTGATACCCAAAATTTGGTACCCAAATCATCTCCCCCCCACACACACACACGTACACACAGAGAGAGAGAGTGTAGGAAATGTGGACTGGAAATGTCAATACTTTCCATTTGATACCCAAATTTTGCAAGGCAAAAAGAACCTACCAAAGCAAGAATATGGGAAAAAATGAACTACCTTTCACCATAAAAGGCACTCCCAACATCTCTGCATCTCTACCCCAATTCTGTCTTTTTTCCCAAGAGTTACATCTCTGTCTTCTGTCTTTTTTTCCCAATGGATCAGCAAGTTGTTATTAAAAAACCCTCAAAATTTTCCCGGATCCTTCGATCAATTTTTGGCAGCTGCGGCGGGAAGTCGGTGGAGAAGACATTAGTTGAGGATGAAAAAGATGGGAATACAGATTATTTTTCTTCTGCTTCTTCCTTCGGCTTGGACTCGGATTCAGCTTATTCTTCAAAGGAAAAGGGCAGTAAAAATGGAGAATTGCAAAATGAGTTTCAGATGGTGACAGATAACATTAAGCAAGAACTTCAAGTGGCTGACTTGAAAAGGGAGTTGACAGAAACTACTGAAGAGAAGGAAGTAGAGAAGATGATCAGTGATTTAAAGATGGAAGCTGAAACGTTGAATGGTGAGAATTCAAAGCTTTTACAAGAACTTGTCACCGAATGTAGCCAGCTGAGGGAGAAATTGGGTGAGAGAGAAAGGGAACTTGCGAGTCACACCGAGATACATAAGACCCATAAGAGTGAAACATCAGCTCGAATGAGGGATTTAGAACTTGAGCTGGATTCTCTGCGTACCCAGAAAGGAGATGAAGTGAAGTTGCTGATGGAGAATCTCAGCGCGATTGAGGAAGACTACGGCTACTTTGAGAGCCGTCTATATGAAATTATGAACGCGTTTCAAGGTGCAAAGAACAGGGTCAGAGAATTGGAAGAGCAGGTGGACTCTCTACGGAACCGGAACAGTAATTTGGAAGAGCAGCTTAGAGGTAAAACGCACGAAACTGAGACTGATCAGATGCCAGGGGTCCAAGAAGAAGAAGAAAGGAAGAGCTACGAAGATGAAGATGAAGATGAAGATGAAGATGAAGATGAAGATGAAGATGAAGATGAAGATGAAGATGAAGATGAAGATGAAGATGAAGATGAAGATGAAGATGAAGATGAAGATGAAGATGAAGATGAAGATGAAGATGAAGATGAAGATGAAGATGAAGATGAAGATGAAGATGAAGATGAAGATGAAGATGAAGATGAAGATGAAGATGAAGATGAAGATGAAGATGAAGATGAAGATGAAGATGAAGATGAAGATGAAGATGAAGATGAAGATGAAGATGAAGATGAAGATGAAGATGAAGATGAAGATGAAGATGAAGATGAAGATGAAGATGAAGATGAAGATGAAGATGAAGATGAAGATGAAGATGAAGATGAAGATGAAGATGAAGATGAAGATGAAGATGAAGATGAAGATGAAGATGAAGATGAAGATGAAGATGAAGATGAAGATGAAGATGAAGATGAAGATGAAGATGAAGATGAAGATGAAGATGAAGATGAAGATGAAGATGAAGATGAAGATGAAGATGAAGATGAAGATGAAGATGAAGATGAAGATGAAGATGAAGATGAAGATGAAGATGAAGATGAAGATGAAGATGAAGATGAAGATGAAGATGAAGATGAAGATGAAGATGAAGATGAAGATGAAGATGAAGATGAAGATGAAGATGAAGATGAAGATGAAGATGAAGATGAAGATGAAGATGAAGATGAAGATGAAGATGAAGATGAAGATGAAGATGAAGATGAAGATGAAGATGAAGATGAAGATGAAGATGAAGATGAAGATGAAGATGAAGATGAAGATGAAGATGAAGATGAAGATGAAGATGAAGATGAAGATGAAGATGAAGATGAAGATGAAGATGAAGATGAAGATGAAGATGAAGATGAAGATGAAGATGAAGATGAAGATGAAGATGAAGATGAAGATGAAGATGAAGATGAAGATGAAGATGAAGATGAAGATGAAGATGAAGATGAAGATGAAGATGAAGATGAAGATGAAGATGAAGATGAAGATGAAGATGAAGATGAAGATGAAGATGAAGATGAAGATGAAGATGAAGATGAAGATGAAGATGAAGATGAAGATGAAGATGAAGATGAAGATGAAGATGAAGATGAAGATGAAGATGAAGATGAAGATGAAGATGAAGATGAAGATGAAGATGAAGATGAAGATGAAGATGAAGATGAAGATGAAGATGAAGATGAAGATGAAGATGAAGATGAAGATGAAGATGAAGATGAAGATGAAGATGAAGATGAAGATGAAGATGAAGATGAAGATGAAGATGAAGATGAAGATGAAGATGAAGATGAAGATGAAGATGAAGATGAAGATGAAGATGAAGATGAAGATGAAGATGAAGATGAAGATGAAGATGAAGATGAAGATGAAGATGAAGATGAAGATGAAGATGAAGATGAAGATGAAGATGAAGATGAAGATGAAGATGAAGATGAAGATGAAGATGAAGATGAAGATGAAGATGAAGATGAAGATGAAGATGAAGATGAAGATGAAGATGAAGATGAAGATGAAGATGAAGATGAAGATGAAGATGAAGATGAAGATGAAGATGAAGATGAAGATGAAGATGAAGATGAAGATGAAGATGAAGATGAAGATGAAGATGAAGATGAAGATGAAGATGAAGATGAAGATGAAGATGAAGATGAAGATGAAGATGAAGATGAAGATGAAGATGAAGATGAAGATGAAGATGAAGATGAAGATGAAGATGAAGATGAAGATGAAGATGAAGATGAAGATGAAGATGAAGATGAAGATGAAGATGAAGATGAAGATGAAGATGAAGATGAAGATGAAGATGAAGATGAAGATGAAGATGAAGATGAAGATGAAGATGAAGATGAAGATGAAGATGAAGATGAAGATGAAGATGAAGATGAAGATGAAGATGAAGATGAAGATGAAGATGAAGATGAAGATGAAGATGAAGATGAAGATGAAGATGAAGATGAAGATGAAGATGAAGATGAAGATGAAGATGAAGATGAAGATGAAGATGAAGATGAAGATGAAGATGAAGATGAAGATGAAGATGAAGATGAAGATGAAGATGAAGATGAAGATGAAGATGAAGATGAAGATGAAGATGAAGATGAAGATGAAGATGAAGATGAAGATGAAGATGAAGATGAAGATGAAGATGAAGATGAAGATGAAGATGAAGATGAAGATGAAGATGAAGATGAAGATGAAGATGAAGATGAAGATGAAGATGAAGATGAAGATGAAGATGAAGATGAAGATGAAGATGAAGATGAAGATGAAGATGAAGATGAAGATGAAGATGAAGATGAAGATGAAGATGAAGATGAAGATGAAGATGAAGATGAAGATGAAGATGAAGATGAAGATGAAGATGAAGATGAAGATGAAGATGAAGATGAAGATGAAGATGAAGATGAAGATGAAGATGAAGATGAAGATGAAGATGAAGATGAAGATGAAGATGAAGATGAAGATGAAGATGAAGATGAAGATGAAGATGAAGATGAAGATGAAGATGAAGATGAAGATGAAGATGAAGATGAAGATGAAGATGAAGATGAAGATGAAGATGAAGATGAAGATGAAGATGAAGATGAAGATGAAGATGAAGATGAAGATGAAGATGAAGATGAAGATGAAGATGAAGATGAAGATGAAGATGAAGATGAAGATGAAGATGAAGATGAAGATGAAGATGAAGATGAAGATGAAGATGAAGATGAAGATGAAGATGAAGATGAAGATGAAGATGAAGATGAAGATGAAGATGAAGATGAAGATGAAGATGAAGATGAAGATGAAGATGAAGATGAAGATGAAGATGAAGATGAAGATGAAGATGAAGATGAAGATGAAGATGAAGATGAAGATGAAGATGAAGATGAAGATGAAGATGAAGATGAAGATGAAGATGAAGATGAAGATGAAGATGAAGATGAAGATGAAGATGAAGATGAAGATGAAGATGAAGATGAAGATGAAGATGAAGATGAAGATGAAGATGAAGATGAAGATGAAGATGAAGATGAAGATGAAGATGAAGATGAAGATGAAGATGAAGATGAAGATGAAGATGAAGATGAAGATGAAGATGAAGATGAAGATGAAGATGAAGATGAAGATGAAGATGAAGATGAAGATGAAGATGAAGATGAAGATGAAGATGAAGATGAAGATGAAGATGAAGATGAAGATGAAGATGAAGATGAAGATGAAGATGAAGATGAAGATGAAGATGAAGATGAAGATGAAGATGAAGATGAAGATGAAGATGAAGATGAAGATGAAGATGAAGATGAAGATGAAGATGAAGATGAAGATGAAGATGAAGATGAAGATGAAGATGAAGATGAAGATGAAGATGAAGATGAAGATGAAGATGAAGATGAAGATGAAGATGAAGATGAAGATGAAGATGAAGATGAAGATGAAGATGAAGATGAAGATGAAGATGAAGATGAAGATGAAGATGAAGATGAAGATGAAGATGAAGATGAAGATGAAGATGAAGATGAAGATGAAGATGAAGATGAAGATGAAGATGAAGATGAAGATGAAGATGAAGATGAAGATGAAGATGAAGATGAAGATGAAGATGAAGATGAAGATGAAGATGAAGATGAAGATGAAGATGAAGATGAAGATGAAGATGAAGATGAAGATGAAGATGAAGATGAAGATGAAGATGAAGATGAAGATGAAGATGAAGATGAAGATGAAGATGAAGATGAAGATGAAGATGAAGATGAAGATGAAGATGAAGATGAAGATGAAGATGAAGATGAAGATGAAGATGAAGATGAAGATGAAGATGAAGATGAAGATGAAGATGAAGATGAAGATGAAGATGAAGATGAAGATGAAGATGAAGATGAAGATGAAGATGAAGATGAAGATGAAGATGAAGATGAAGATGAAGATGAAGATGAAGATGAAGATGAAGATGAAGATGAAGATGAAGATGAAGATGAAGATGAAGATGAAGATGAAGATGAAGATGAAGATGAAGATGAAGATGAAGATGAAGATGAAGATGAAGATGAAGATGAAGATGAAGATGAAGATGAAGATGAAGATGAAGATGAAGATGAAGATGAAGATGAAGATGAAGATGAAGATGAAGATGAAGATGAAGATGAAGATGAAGATGAAGATGAAGATGAAGATGAAGATGAAGATGAAGATGAAGATGAAGATGAAGATGAAGATGAAGATGAAGATGAAGATGAAGATGAAGATGAAGATGAAGATGAAGATGAAGATGAAGATGAAGATGAAGATGAAGATGAAGATGAAGATGAAGATGAAGATGAAGATGAAGATGAAGATGAAGATGAAGATGAAGATGAAGATGAAGATGAAGATGAAGATGAAGATGAAGATGAAGATGAAGATGAAGATGAAGATGAAGATGAAGATGAAGATGAAGATGAAGATGAAGATGAAGATGAAGATGAAGATGAAGATGAAGATGAAGATGAAGATGAAGATGAAGATGAAGATGAAGATGAAGATGAAGATGAAGATGAAGATGAAGATGAAGATGAAGATGAAGATGAAGATGAAGATGAAGATGAAGATGAAGATGAAGATGAAGATGAAGATGAAGATGAAGATGAAGATGAAGATGAAGATGAAGATGAAGATGAAGATGAAGATGAAGATGAAGATGAAGATGAAGATGAAGATGAAGATGAAGATGAAGATGAAGATGAAGATGAAGATGAAGATGAAGATGAAGATGAAGATGAAGATGAAGATGAAGATGAAGATGAAGATGAAGATGAAGATGAAGATGAAGATGAAGATGAAGATGAAGATGAAGATGAAGATGAAGATGAAGATGAAGATGAAGATGAAGATGAAGATGAAGATGAAGATGAAGATGAAGATGAAGATGAAGATGAAGATGAAGATGAAGATGAAGATGAAGATGAAGATGAAGATGAAGATGAAGATGAAGATGAAGATGAAGATGAAGATGAAGATGAAGATG